CCCACCGCAGCAAACAGCCCCTGCCCTGAATGTGCCGCGGTGCACCAAGTTTGCCAGGTCTCAGCCCATGGGCCCCTGGAGCCGCGCATCGATCCCCGAACTGCAAAAAGCATCGCTCGGGGGATCCCTGTGCCGGGGGGGGAGCCGTGACACCCTGGCCAAATTAAGCATCCCCCGGCTGGTAAAAAGGTGAAACATCAAACGAACACCGGGGAGGGATGGGGTGAATCAGGATCCGGCCAACAACCCTGTGCCGCCGGATGGGGCCACCCACCTCCGTACTGGTGGCCGTAGTGGCCGGAGCTGATGTAGGCGGTCTGGTGGGAGTCGAGGGGCACCGTCTGGTAGTAGTCGTCGTCGTAGGGGTCGTAGACGTGCACCTGGGAGTGGCAGGAGCGCGGCGTGAGGCTGGGGGCCAGACCGGGGGCTGCACGGCGGAGCCGCGACCCAGCCGGCGTGGCCATGCCAGTGCAGTGCCTCGGTTTTCCCCCATGCGTGACGGGGGGCCTGAATCGCTTGGGTTCCCCTGCACTGCTGAAAGGGGGACCCAGAGTGTCCGAAATGCCAGGGGCAGCCTTTGCTCAAGCACCCGGATCACCTACCTGTGCTCGGGTCACCTTAACTCTGCCCCCCGTCACCTTAACCATCTCCCATTCCCCTTAAATTCTGCCCCCATTCCCCTTAACTGTGTCCCCTGTCACTGTAACTCTGCCCCCGTCACCCCAGACCGCTGAACAGGGTCACCCTCGGCTCTGTCTCCTGTTGGTGGCATCGCGAGCAGGCTGCTCTGTCGCTAACGCTTCTCCTCAACCTTCTTCCCCGTCTGGCTCCCGGCGCTTTACTCCCTGTGCCCCAAGGCCGCCCGATGGGCGCAGGGTCTCGGGGGGCCACCCCGAGCTCAGCATCAGCCCCGGGGGCGGGGGGTGCTGGGGTTGGGGGGTTACACCCACGCGTGCCCGAAGCCCGTGCCGGGACGGCGCCCCTCTTTTGGGGGATGAAGCCTCACCGGGGTGGATTTAGCCTCCAGCACGGCCATCTTCCAAGCGCTGCAAACAAAACAGAGGGGACCCGGTTTTGGGGTGTGCTGTGGGGGTGGGAATTGACCCCGTGGGGCTGCCCGGCGGCTCCGCTGGGCGCACGTGTCCCCCCCCCTCCCACCGGTGACCTGGATAAAAAAAAACCGGTGACCTGGATGCGGCCGCGGGGCCGGCGCTAATCTTTAATTCCCTATTAGCCAGCGCTGGGCTAACAGGTGGGGATGGGATGGTGCTGGGAGGTACCCGACGCCACGGGGGTGGGCACAGGGCTAAGCGCTGTCCCTGGGAACGGCCCGGGCTAAACCAAGCGCAGGCAGGAAAACGGCATCTAAATTGGGGGAAAAAGCGGGTAACGGATGCGTTTCCATTCAACTGGGGGTCAAGCTCAATTGATCAAGCTCAGCTTGGCCGTGGCTGAACGTCTCCCTCCATCTAAGTTCAGCTGAAGGTTTCCCACTTCTTATTTTTTTTATAGATTTTTTTTTTTTAAAACTTTTTATAAAAAATTCCGATTTTTATAACAATTCTTAATTTTTATAGAAATAAAGAGAAGGGGAGCAGTGCTAAAAGTGGGTGTTTCCTCCTGCTGGGCATGGCCTTAAGCCAATAAGGACTTCACTTTCATGCTTATTTATCGCCAAATACCGATGAAAACCCTTCCCCAGTGATCCTCGGTCGGCCCGAGAGGCGATTTCTCATCCAGGAGGGAAACCCGCCCCGCAGGAGACCGACTGCTTAAAAATAGCTACTTTTGGCTCTGAATTATTCAGCAGGAAACCCAAATCTCCGCCTGCGCCTACCACCCTGCGAGCGAACGCGGGTGTTTGAGACAACAAGGGCTGCGTGGGGTGTTAGCCACGGGTGGGATGTGGTGGGAGTGGGACGGGATGAAAAAGCCGCCGAGGGGATTTGGGTGCTGCCGCCACGGGATTTCGGCTTACACGGCATCGTCCTCGCTCTCGGCACACAGCGTCGTCTTGGAGCCGTCCCGCAGCACGACGGTCAGCAGGCAGTCGCGGCTCTTCCCGTCGGGCGGCTGCACGTCTGGAAACAGAAGGGGCAGGATCCTGCCTCAGTGAAAGAGATGTCCCAGAGACCCTCCCCCTCTGCCCACAGCCCCTCTCGGGAGAGGGTCGGGCTCCAAATTACCCCTGGCACGAGCAGCCCCCCGTGTGCCACTAACGAATGCAATCATTAAAAACCTGCTGGGACACCGTGCTCGTAATTCGGGTTTAATTTCGGCTCCGGCTCCGCTTACAAGTTACAATCAGGCTCTCAAAGGTTAAAAGCCTACACGAGCAAAAAGCTGGCGAGCAGAAACTTCCACCCCCGCGGCAGAAAGAAAATGGAAGGACAGAAAACTGCCAAAAATCTCGTCCGAGCTGCGTTTGCTTTGCATTTGCCACGTTGCAGCGGGCACCCACATTTTGTCGAAGCGCGAGACACTCGCTGCTGGGGATGGATCACGGGCAAGAACGAAGTCTTAAATCCAGGAGGCTCGTTTATGCCCGCACCTTCCCCCAGCTCAAAGCCTGGCGGGACCCTTCGGCGAGGATAAATCTTTGGGTTTGTGTTCCCACCGCGACATCCCGGCTTCGCCGCTGCCGGTCGCAGCCCAAGAAAGGCGCTTTGTGCAGCGGCCGTGGGCTGCCGGGGCCGAGCCAAGCTGCTGCTTTGTTCTCCTTGTTTGTGCGAGACGGCGAGGGATGAGTCAGGGCCGTGGGATCATGTTTTGAACAAGCACAAACCAGGAGAAGAGTTTCTTCTTCCTTCCCCCGTGGAAAAGCAATGGAAGAGAAGAGGCAACGTGCATCTCACGGGGGACGGCCCGGCGCTGGCTGGGAGCTAGAACGGGGCGAATTAGGCAGCCTGGGTTTTTTGGGGAGCATTCTAGATGTGCGCAAGCGCGTTTCAGACCTGCAGAGCATCGGTTAAAAGGGATACAGTCCACGCAGAGAGCCCTGCACGGGATGGGCTTGGGGACACGGGGCTTGGGGACGTGGGGCTTCGCTCACCTCTGCACTCGCGGCCGGTCCTCACGTCCCGGCAGCTGTATTTGATGTGGATCCGGCCGTCCATGTCGCGCTGCGTCTCGTCATGGTAGTAAACCAAGCTGCCGTCCAGGTAGAGGACGAACCAGTTTCTCTTCCAGCGGCGCAGGATGGAGCCTGGCGGGATGGGGAGGAGGTGAAGGACCCCACTGAGCCCGGTGGGATACGGCCAGCGCGCTCAGGAGACCCAATGCCGTCCCCCCAAATTTGCAGCCGGATCCCACCACCCCCTGCAAGAGTCGCTGCATCCCGCGGGGCGCCCGTGCCTGGCATGAGCATCCGGGGCAGCGTGGCCAGGTGGCTTTAAATTAAAAAGGGCTGCCAAAAAAGCCATCGGGGCATGTCGGTGCTGCCCTGCCGTGCGCGCAGGACTGGATCCAGCCCCGGACGTGGAGCCGCGTGTCTGTTTTCGTGGCAGAAGGCCCCTCTCTCTTACGTAAATCCGCGAGCAGCTGAGCCGCGATTTCCTCGCTGCCATGGATTAACCGCCCCCGTTGGGGCCCGTTCCCCCCGCGCCTCCTCCTGGCATCCCGTAGCCCAAACCTCTCCGGGTTTGTTTTTTTTTTTGGAGGGGGGCTCCCAACCTGGAAAGCTCAAGGGTCGCACTTACTCTGCCGCCAAAGCCAACCGCTCTTCACCAGCGCCATGGCTGCGGGAGGTTTTCCGGACCTGCTGGCACGGGAAAAATACCGGGGTTAAAATAGCAGCTCCCGCCTCGCCTGCGGTTTTTTCCCCCCGGTTCTCGCCTTCCTGCAGCTCCGGGAGCGAAGTGGGATGGGGATTCACCCTCGTTGCCCCTTTTTGTTGGGGAGGATGATCCGAGTGCGTGGGTTAATCAGGGTTAGACACACGTGGGGTTTCATCATCTGGGAAACATCGCAAAGGCGGAGAGGAGGAACTCCGGCCACCTTTCTTTCTGCCTTTAATCTCACTGGGATTTAGGGATTATCATCCCGTGGAGGTAAGTGGGGAATCCGGGCCATGTATAAAAACAGGCAGTAACTGCCCACGGCCCCAGTAACTTTCCACGGCAAACAACAGCCACGCTTGTCTGTTTTCCCTGCCTGGATGGAAATTAGTCCTTAATAAAGCCATGAAGTCATTGCTCCCCGGGTCCCCGAGCAGAGCCGCCACCCCAGAGTCAGGCAGGAGCAGTTCCCCGGCCACGGCCCTCGCCGCCACCCCTCAACCAGGGACCCCGGCATCCCGGTGATGGAGGCTCAGCACCCCAGGACGGCCTCCAGGACCGCCCGGCTGGGTCCCCTCCTGGTCTGGGGCCACGCCGAGGTACAGACCCCTCCCCAGTACCTCTGTGCCTCGGCACCTGCGTTACCCAGTGCCCGAATCCCCGGGTGTCCACGTCCCCCTGGTACCCGCACCCCCCAGAAATCACAGCCCCTGGCACCCTCGCCCTCCTGTCCTCGCATCCCCCGGGTACCCCCATCCCTCAGGACTCGCATCCCCCTGGCACCCTCGTCCCCCTGTATTTGCAGCCCCCCCCGGTACCCACGTCCGGTGCCCTCGTCCCACACCCCCTGGCATCTTCCC